TGCTGGCTCATGTTGAGCTTCTTATCCACCAGCTCCCCGAAGCCCTTTTCCCCAGGGCTGCTCTCCAGTCATTCTCCACCCAGCCTGTATTTGTGCTTGGGGTTGCCCTGACCCAGGTGCAGGACCTTGCATTTGGCCTTGTTGAACTTCATGAGGTTTGCACGATCCCACCTCTCAGGCCTGTCAAGGTCCCTCTGGATGGCATCCCGTCCCTCCAGCGTGTCATTCCTGCCTGAACTAGTTACATGTAATGCAACCAGAACTTAAAAAATACGCTGTGCACACAGAGAGATTACATGCCCTTTATCTGTAATACATGTATAGAGATGAATATATATAGCTCTCTTTTTTGATGTTGCTCAGAATAATTTTGTTTTATCTGGATAGGTGATGAAGAATTTTTTAAAATTAAAAAGCCGTCCTTCAATGAAGTAACCTTTAGAATTCAAAAGAAGAAAACCCTACTGCCTGCACAGACAGAAACTGAAGAAAGCAGAAGTAAGTACTTTTTTCTGTTAAATATTTTATGGAATACATATGTGAAAATATATTAAGTGAAGAGTGATATACAAATACTGCTGTTAGATTTTTTTTTTTTAAACTTGTTAATTGAACCCAAGATTATACTTATAATGTTAATTTATAGGTTTATAATTTTAATCTATTTGTGCTGAAATTATTTTCCATATGATCTTGGTAAAACAGTATCAGAACTCAGAGGCTGTTCTTGAAAAGGCCTGGGTATGCAGAACCCCTGTAGTACATCAAAGTTAATAAACTTCTGATAAATTTATACCTCAGTGTCATATCTTTTAAACTGTGTGGCAACTATCCACTGCTCATTGCTATCAGATTGCAGTTTAATCTGAGTCTTTGCACTGGGAGAAAATGTGAGCTTAGTAGGATTTTATTTGATAAAACTTATTGTAAACCTCAAACTTTGTATTATTAAACCTCATGCTATTACAGCATTTGAATATTTTAATTGATTACAGTTAATAGCCTTGATTGTTCTGGCGGTATTTCTGGTCTCATTGAACTATAGTAAGTGTCCTGTTGGGATATTTGGGATTTGTGTGTTTTACAGACAAGTGTGTCTAAAAGTTTTCTTCCCCTCCATTTCGACACCTCTCAATTCACAGATACACCCTAATGGCTACTGTTAGATAAAAAACAAATTAGATTGAGAAGTAATTTCCTTTGAGATTGTGATTCAAATGAGAGAGGAAATTTTCTTAGTAACTCTTATAAAAGTATACCTCATACTTTTATAACAGGTGGCATATTCTGTTGTTCCAGTTATCTGATGATTTACTAAACGTCTAGTGGCAAATGAAGAGAAATCAATGTTTTTGAAGAATTCAAAGATAATTGGAGCCAAGACAGACAGACATACGTAAACCGTTATAGTTTAAATAAGGACTCCTTCATTGTTAAAGCTTAAAAAAAAGTGCTTTCTAAATACAGTTTATAAAGTAAAGGAGGATGAATCCAAACATGCTGTGAACTGTCAGATATTAATCAGTTGTCATCTGGGAGCCATTATCATTGCTTCTGTGTATGTAAATGTGTTCTCTGTCTCAGGAGGACATATTAGGACAGATGCATTGATTCAAGACAAGAACTGGCTTGTAAATTACTGTCTTGGAGTGTTGGAAGATTTGGCATGTTTTGGTGAGGACAGATGGAGATAGATAAGCGACCAATATTTGCTGCAGCAAGGTGTAAATAGTTACTGGTAACCAGTTATGGCACATCAGATTTCAGCAGCTGAAACTGAAACAATAAATCTTACATTTTTCCCCTGATACAGAAATCTGTCAGTTGAAGCCTAGAACTGGCAACACCAAAGGCACTTGTGAAGAAGAAGAAGAGGAGGAGGAGAAGGAGGGGGATGAAAATTACTCTTCACTAAGTGAGCACTACAACAGCTCAGACTCTGAAAATGAATCCAACTCTCTACAGAGGAGGAAGGATTTATCACCAGGTTAGTTTCCTGGATTTTTTTTTTTTTAAAAAAAGGAAGTTATTTTACAACATTCTTTGTTTGAAGTACGTGATAGGATAGGTGAGATGAATCCCACTCAAATCATGTAAGGTGTAGACATCCTGGTTGTGCTGAGTCAGGGCTACCCTTCTGAAAGAATAGTGATGATTCCCCAATATTTTTAATTGCAGTTGTTTGTTGTATTTCTGTGTTAATTTTGGAAATGGATCTGAGGTTATGAACACTGCTTTTGGAGGAAAGGCAGCCAAAAATTCCTGTTTAATGATACAGAGTTCCCTTCATTAGATTAAAATGTAGCCTTATTTGTGCTAATTTGTAAACTTTGAATTCCTTTGTAAAGTGAGTTTAGTAACCCAGATCTTTTAGGGAGATGGAAAAAAGGACAGACTGACAGCAATTTATTTAAAAGAAAGAAGTCTGAGCTTTGTTTTTAGATGGAGAGACACATTTTAAGGATGCTTTTCCATCTCCTTATATTCAATATGATAAGCTTAATAGAAAAATATCTCGTGTCTTATATTCAGAATCGTACAGTGGTCCTGAACTGTGGTGATTATTGATATTGGGTGACATTAGGAACAATACAGAGTGTTGCTTTTAGTCTTGTGCTTAGATTTTCTTTCACTTCAATGCAGGTGGTATCCCCGGTGCAGCTTGTGTTGAAGCTGCTCGGAGGAAACGTCACTTAGCCAGGACACGGGCTGATTATCTTCCCCTGGATGTTTCAAACAGTCATCAGGTCTCTTGGAGAAGAGAAAGCAGTGACTTTGAGAGTGAAGATGAGTCTGATACGAAGAATCTCAGTTTTGCTCCTAAAATGAGAACTCTTAGGCAGAGGATCACTGAACACATGGGTGAGTGTTTGTTATTTCTCCCAGTGGTTGTGCCTTTATTTTACTGATGTCTGGAAGAATGTGGGTCTTGTCCAGTAAAGTGTGAGTGCAGTGCAAGGCTTTGCTCCTCAGGGGTCTTGGCAGAAGGCTGTACAGCTGTTGCTTGAGGTTTATATGGGACATTAACCTGTTCTAGGTCTCACTAATGTGGTGGTACAGGATGCTTTGAGAAACATTCTTTTAAAAAATATTTTTTGCCTTGTTGACTGCAGACAATTGCCTTATAGGAGGCAGAGCATTTAATGTGAGTAGTGTTTCTGTAAATCCTGCCTCCTGCTTCTGTTCTGGTCTTCTGAGTGCTCTCCCTGCATTGACATTATGACTATTCTTGCAAAAGGAAAAAAAACCTGAACCAAACAAACATAGAACCCCAAAAACCAACAACCCAGCCCTTCAGAAGTGAACAAACCTGTTGCATGCAAAGCACATCTGGCTTTTCCATTGCTTTTATATTCTTATAGCTGCTTATAGTTTTTGTTTATGAAGTACTCGTTTACTTTATTTGAATAAAGGTTATAAGGAATGCATAACTACGAGCAGATTCTGCAGTTCTAATTAATGCTAATGAGATATTTTTGTGTCTATAGTAGAGTGTACATTTTGAAACACTCAAGGATTTGCTGTGTATAACATCACTTGCTGTCTTATAGTCTGTACTTTTATTTACATGTATTATATACACAGCTTTGCTTTGAGGTATGAAAATGAGATGCTTGTGCCCCTCATACTGCAGTCGTGTTTGTCTGAGAAAGAGTATGTTGGGGAAATTAATATTGATACGAATTCTGCAAATCCCACTGGCCATTTCCAAGCCTTCCTTGCCTTTCAGTTTGGAAGTCCTCCATCCGCAGGTTTTTGCTCTGCAGTTTTTTGTGTGTATCACTTCCCAGTAATGGCTGGGAGAACCATTGCTGCTTTAGAGGGAGGAGAACATGCAAGGGGAAAAATAAAGGATGTAACTGCATCTAATAATGGTTCTTTTAACTTCCAGTGGCTGTGAGTGATGAGTCAAGTGAAGATGAAGCACGAATTAAGTGGGAAGAACAGCAAATAAAGAAAGCTGTTAAACTCTCTAAGGTGAGACATGCTTTCCTAAACACAGTAAGATGCTTTTTGCTCATGGGCAAGAGAGCTTGTCTGGAGTACTGTCACATCTCCTTCTCACCTTCTCATTAGAGAGGTTTTTAGGAAGTTGTAACCTTATTCTTCAGGGAAGAGATGATTAGAAATATAGGAAGATGATAATAAACATCTGTAATCTCTGTCTGACTGTTCAGAAGCAAGGTATTGTTGTCTCCCTCAAAGGCAGGTACCCGTATGTGATGGAAGACTGTGAAAAGCAGAGAATAAAATTCTGAAATAAACTGTGTATCTTCTGATGAGCTGGAAGTTTTGTTTCTGGCTTGAATCACCTACTCTGGATCAGAGTAGGAAAATCTGGGTAACCAAATCTTTGTCAGAATAGACAATTGTAAAAATTTTTGCCTGTTAAATGGGGGTAGTTAGAGGACTGGGAGAAGGTTACATCTTTCTGCTGATGATTTTCAAATCCAGTATGATTGGTGTTCTTAAGTCCTCATACTTGTTTCTGGAAAACTGTTAATTTCTGCTGTTCACAAAACTGGAGCAATTTTTAGTAGCAGACCTTGCTAGTCATTGACTTGATTGCTTCAACCGATTGTGTTTTGATTATATTTTAATATACCAACCTCTACTGGTTTAGAATGCAAAGTGTCTTTTTATTTATAAGCTAAAATTAATTGGAATCCTTTTTTTAGTTATAATTACAGTTAAGCTAAGTTGTCAAGAGTGAAAAATCTCTCTTCTGGCCACTGGCTTTGCCAGAAGGTAGCATTCATATTTATTGGTGGGGGAGGACTCAGGAAATTTACTATGAGAAAAGAGAATATTAAATGGCTAATAGATGGGAAATAATTTATCATAAATATATTCAAATAGTTTTAAAGGAGCAACATATGAGAAAACTCAGATATTACCATCACCACTTGGCTGCAGTTTATTTCTACATTTTATATTTAGAATCTTGATACTAGTGAAGTCTCAGCTGTCAGTATAGAAGCATTATGTATTATTGAAAGCTATTAATATTTTCAGACCAAGACAACAACTTCCATGTACCCTAAATTATGGACAGTTTGTGCTGGTCATATGTGTTTTTATGTTATATGTTTTTAAACAACATATATTTGCAGTTTTTTAGTACTTTGTTTTTCTTGCCTTTGTGTTGTACTTTTCTGTACATTTTCTGTACTTAATTTAATGATTGAAATTTGTATATCTATATCATAGATATATAGATACACCTTGTGTGTTTGAATGATGGGTATTCTTGATATATAGAGGGAAAACTTATGTAAATGGTTTATTAAAAATTAACACTTAAAATTCTTGTAGGAAACTTACGATCATGCTTCCCTGCATAAATCTCAACGAGCTAAACCAAAGTTTGATCCCTCTGTTCCTCTACCACCTGTCAACTTGGAAATTGTGAAGAAGCGACTGACTGAAAGGTAAATCCTGCTCTTACAAACTTAACTTCTGAGTTGTCTGAGTTTTTGTGACGGAATGAGAGATGACAGCTTTGAAATCTTATTCTTTTTCCAGAGTATTGGAGGATTTTTGGGTTGTTATTTTATTTGTAATACGCCTGTTATGGTGTCCAGTAGAGTACTACAAATTTTTAACTTTACCTGGCAATGTTTTATTGTAGGGGAGCATTTGGATGTATCTAGAGTGTTTTGTCAGCTAGTACTTTAGAGAGCAAGTTCATCCAAAAGGCAGCAGCTTTTTATTCTTGCTAGTAGTTTTTGACAGGAGTGTTGGTTCAATGTTATGTTTGCCCAGCAAGCAAAACTGCAGCCAGGGCAGATGGAGCTGGCAATCCCAGCCCTCTTGTGGTTCTTACACCAGCTGAAAAAATAGCTCAGTGTTTCCTAAAGCAGCAGTAAATTCTCTACAGCCTGTTTAGGCAAACTGGAACCTGCCTTGATTTTTTTCTTTAGTCAGGTTCCAGGCTGTGACTTTTCTTTAGCAGTTCAGCTGCTGTATGGGCAGCTGAAGTGTCCTGGGATGGTGGTGGGAACCTCCAAGAGGGTGTGTGAGAAGGACAGCTGGGGTCAGGCATTCTAAGGTAAGCCACCCCTGTCATCTCTCAGAGCACTGAGAAGCAGCTGTTCAGATAAGTTTAGACAAGTGACATTATAGAGCTGAAGCATAAATATGTGTTATGGATTTGGACCAAGCTCTCTCTATACACTTTGCTTTGTACACAGCATCACTGACCTGTTTGTTTAAAAAATTGCAACTAAATTGGACTGAATGCTTTTGTGGAATCATATGCTTTCTTTGCCATAATCACCTGAAAGGAATGAGTTAAATAAGTTTGGCCAGCAGGAGCAGGAAAGTGATCCTTCCCCTGTACTCTGCGTTATTGAGGCCACACCTTGAGTACTGTGTTCAGCTCTGGGCCCCTCAGTTCAGGAAGGACATTGAAGTGCTGGAGCGGGTCCAGAGAAGAGCAACGAGGCTGGTGAAGGGACTTGAGCACAAGTCCTATGAGGAGAGGCTGAGGGAGCTGGGGTTGTTTAGTCTGGAGAAGAGAAGGCTTAGAGGTGACCTCATCACTCTCTTCAACTACCTGAAGGGAGGTTATAGCCAGGTGGGGGTTGGTCTCTTCTCCCAGGCAACCAACAATAGGACAAGGGGGCATGGGCTCAAGCTCTGCCAGGGGAGGTTTAGGTTGGATGTGAGGAAGAAATTCTTTACAGAAAGGGTAATCAGGCACTGGAACGCCCTACCCAGAGAGGTGGTGGATTCACCATCCCTGGAGGTTTTTAAAAAGAGATTGGACGTGGCCCTTAGTGCCATGATATAGTAATTGGAGTTGGATCAGGGGTTGGACTTGATGATCTTGGAGGTCTTTTCCAACCCAATCTATTCTATGATTCTGTGAAATGAAGTAGGACTTTCTGTACAGAATCAAAGAAGAAAAATGAGAATAAAGCTATCAAGAGTAGGAAACCCATCTGGAAAATAGCAAGAAGGGGAGGGGGAACCTGTTTGATGTAAAATTTATGGGTGTGTTTAATATGCTAAATGCTGAAAAAGCTCTTTTTAACTTCTAGCACAGTAGAGAATAACTTATTCAATTATTTTCTGTTTCTTACTTCAGGGAAGTGAAATAAGTCTGTTTCTTGATTCTGTTGCAGGCCTGCTCAAGCTGAGCAGTCACTTGGGAATATGTAAGGAGGAAAGGGGCGGGGGGGAGGGGGGAGGAAGAGGAAGCAGAGTTGTAATATATGTAAATATTTCAGTGCTATCTACCTGATAGTGACAGCTGTAGATGTAGGTTCCTGAGTTTTACCACTTACTAGCAGCAAGAGTCTTCGGTTTGTATTTAGGAGTGAGCACATGATGAATGTTTACAGGTACTGCTGTCCATGCAACTTACATCAAACTTGTATGGCCATGCTGACGTGAGCTGTGGTTTTCCCCAGATTATATGGGTAGAATCCATTTAATGTGGTATCACAAAATTTGTCTTTTTATGGTTTTGGGGAGTGTGGTGTATTCAGGAAGCTAGGGAAAATATTAGTGGTGCTTTCAAAACTAGCACTATGTAAGTGACACTTCAGTCTCCAAAGCATGATGCTTGTCCACACCCTATGCTTCTGCAAATGTTTGCATGGATCAGTCTTTCAACGCTTCTTAGCTCAAATGCAAGTACTATTATTAGCACAGGCAAAGATTTTGTATGTGATTATAATGGGAAAAATATTTTCAGAGAATCACAGAGTGGTGGGGGTTGGAAGGGACCTCTGGAGATTATCTAGTCTAACCCCCCTGCCAAAGCAGGTTGCACAATAAAGCATCCAGGCAGGTTTTGAACATCTCCAGAGATGGAGCCCCCCCAGCCTCTCTGGGCAGACTGTCCCAGTGCTCCATCACCCTCACACTAAAGCAGTTTTTCCTCATGTTTAAGCAGAACCTCCTGTGTTCCAGCTTGTGCCCATTGCCCTTTGTCCTATCGCTGGTCACCACTGAAAAGAATCTGGCCCCATCCTCTTGACACCTGCCCTTTACATATTTATAAACATTAATGAGGTCCCATCTCAGTCTCCTCTTCTCCAGGCTAAACAGACCCAGCTCTCTCAGCCTTTCCTCATAAGAAAGATGCTGCAGCCCCTTAATCATCTTTGTAGCCTCTTCTGGACTCTCTCAAGCAGTTCCCTGTCCTTCTTGAACTGGGGAGCCCATAACTGGATACAATATTCCAGATGTGGCCTCACCAGGGCAGAGTAGAGGGGGAGGAGAACCTCTCTTGACATTCTGGTCACACTCTTCTTGATGCACCCCAATGTGAAATGTATCAGCTGTTAACTTGGCCATGGCTTTAGTTGTCTGGGTTTCTCTTTTTCAGGATCGCATCGTTACAAGATGTGCACAGTGTCCACCAGAGGGAGTATGAAAAATACATGGAAGACATTGAAAGTTCGAAGATGACTGTCCAGGAGTTAGAGAAGTCTTCGGATGCAGCTCTGAATTACAAATTCTACAGGGCCATGAAAATATATGTAGAAAACTTGATAAACTGCTTGAATGAAAAGGTATGTATATTTTTCTCTTCCTTTTTTTTTTTCTTTAGACGATAAAGGTGCATTCTGTCAGTGAACGATGAGGGACTTTTGTTTGGAAATGATGAGGGACAGCACTCGGTTAAAAATCAGTTCTATCAGAAATTTTAGTGTAACAGGAAACAAAATATAGGGAAAACAAATCAACCCTCACCTGAAGTGATGATCAGGCTAGTATAGGTATACTGACTTGAGCTGTGATCTCACCTAGATTCTCCTGGATGAAAACAAAATGTTATTGGAGGGAGTTTTCTGCAGGTCTAGTAACCAGAGTACACTGAAGTTGAGTGAGAGGTGATGCCTAAATTCACTTTTGGGATCTCAAAATGTCTTTATTCAGGGTTATCTGTTCCTACATAACAGACGTAGTAAAGATTTCATGTTGGGTTTGAGTTGGGATTGAGTTAGCAGAGCTCTGTGAGAACTTGTTTACGTTATCAGCTGCATCTGAACTACAAACCTTGTGTATTTAAAAAAAACAAAGACTGGGAGAAGGGGAGGAGCTGCCTGAAGTTTGGCCTCAGTGAAAGTAAACTGCTGTTACCCTCTATAGATAGTGCTATCAAATCTAATTTATGTCACTTAATTGCATTGCAATTGTGAATTTATGTAACTTTAAAGAGAACAACTGTTAGTTAATGAGTACATTTGCTTTAATGGCTAGTGGCTGAAAAGCAAACAGAAAGCAAACTAAGTGCACCAGTAGTGTACTGTTGAGCCCTTTTGTATGAAGTCTGAGCTAGTCCTGTGATGAGCAACTGGCATTTAGTTTGTGTTTTTCAGCCTTACTAAAAAGTCTGAAAACCTCCAGTGACCAGGAAACTACTTTTCAATCTGATACTGTGGTTATAATTTCACAGCTATAGTGAAAAACCATGGAAACTGTTTTTTGTTAATTCTTTTGGGATTTTAATTAATTGAAAACCTGATTACTGTTTACTGTATTTCAGCTGAAATATATTAATGATCTAGAATTGGCTGTCCATGTACTTCTCCAGCAACGAGCCATGAAAGTATTGAAACGAAGGCAAGATGAGCTGAAAAACGAATCTGCTTATATTCAACATCTGACAAGTTAGTATGAAGTTAGAAGTTATTTTCTTATTGAAACATTCACTCTTTGAGCAGAAATATACAGTTACTTTTGGATGAAGCTTTTAATTTTCACCTTTGATCTCCTTTCCCCTTTCCATTGTCAGTAGGTGTGTTGCACTGTACCTCGACTGGAATCCTTACCACAGTAAAGCCCATGATGCTATTTTTCCCTGGTTTGATAGTGAAGATAACACGACAAAATACTTCCTCAATTTTTATTTATTAAACTCAGCAATTTCCTATCAATATTTTAAAAGAAAACTGAGTCAATTTTCAAGTAGATCTTAAGTTGGAGAAGTCTCTCTTACTGTGTGATTTTGTGAATACATGAAAAAGCAACGTGTTTACTTGGCAACGTCACTTTTACGTGGGGGTGTCTTTAAGGCTCTGTGTGCGTTCAGAGTGGAGATTTCAAACTAGGAGGTGACATATAAAGGGAAGGAAATGAAGAAAGAAGAAATAAGCCATTTTGTGTAAGGGTTTTGTCTAAACCAAAACAGTCTTTTTCCAGTTGTTGTAGAAAAATTTATTACAATTTTCTCACATTTTCAATGATGTATTTGTTCATATGCCACTTCAATCTTTATCTGCTGCTGTTTAAAAAAACCCAACCCAAACCTCCAAAACCAAACCCTTTAAAACTGCTTAGACAAAACCAAAAACAATATGCTTGGAGCTGCTGGGTACAGAGGGAGGCCAGATGCACCAGTTTCTGGTAACTACTGATCACGTGGGTTCAGTCTTCTCACTGCACAGGATAAACTGCTGATTAGAGAAAGCTCTAATCCTGTATGAGTTTATAAAATGGTGTAGCAGACGGACAGCAGGTTTAAGAAGAAAAGGGTAGTGCCATAATAGTTGCCATTAAAATGATTTTACTTCCAACTTGTTACAAATGAGACTGTACTTGGATATTTAACAACACTTTTAATTGCTTCTTATGTTCCTAGTTGTATTTAATATAGTGGAAAGGCTGTTTTTTCTTCTATTATGATATGTCAGTAGTTGTATGTTTTTTTCCTTTTGGCCTGTTGTGCACATATCAGCCAGCTAATAGTGATGCTTAATATAGTGGAAAGGCTGTTTTTTCTTCTGTGATGATACTTCAGTAGTAATATGCTTTTTTTTTTCTTTTTGGCATGTTGTGCACATATCAGCCAGCTAACAGTGATGCAAATGAATGGCCCAACTAGAATATACTTCCAGTTTCTACTTCTGTGTGGGACTCAAGAGTCAGAGTAAGGGTAATTGGGGTCACCTAGTTAGTGGCCACTCAGACAACAGGAGTCGGTGGGGAGTTGACTAGTGTTGAAATGTAAATGCAATGATTTTGAATAGTGTAAATCAAGGATTTAGCTTCCATTACAACGTTGGAACCAAACTTTGAAAGTTACTCTAATTTACTGTGATTTCATTTTTGTCATACTTTTGAAGGTAGGTCCCTGTGCTTGCCTTTCACATTGCTAAGGAGCTGCTGTGGAAGCCACTAACTTCCTTTTCCAGGACTGGGAAGCAGTGAGTGTTGACTGGAGTGTCATCAAACTTACCTTTTCATCAACTGCTATAAGGGAACAACCACATCTGATTATGTGCAGTTATCAAGTAATATTTACTGTGCATTACTCTGGAGACTGGTAGAGTTTTGATTAGGAGATTTGATTTTTCTTTGACTGGTTTCCAAATGAAGAACAATAGAAGGAGAATCAGTGTTTCCTAATTGAGAAAACAGGAATTTAAAGATCATACAATTTTATTTTTGGCTGTTTCTGTCTTTTGATAGGTGGGAATGACAAACCAGCTGATGGTGGTTTGGAAGGTGATGAGAAGACAAAGCTTCTGGAAATGTGTGAAAATCGAAGGTAGGTGTTATGTATAGTACACTTAACTGTGATAAATGTGCTGTACACTGGCTTTCTGTCATTTATGCAGTGATGAATGTAAACCTGCAGGATTGCTAAATGAGATAATACAAAAGAAAATAAAAGTATTCACTTGAACTCAAAGTACTTGGAAACCATCTATTTGTTAATGACATTCTCTTCATGTTGATTTGAATCTGAATGCTAATAGATCTTAATTAACAAGTCTTAAGTGAGGCTCTTCAGAAAACTATATGACAGAAGCTTTTTCTGTCCTATTGTAATAAATAAAATTATGACCTTATGTAGAAAAATATTTTTGTATTATTGCATTGATAGCAAAAAAGTGAGGCAGTATTGTTGCTGCTGGGGGTGGTGGTGGCAGTGAGTGAAGCAAAGCAGTATCTAACCCCTCCCCTGCTATCAGTGTAGGCCAGATACTGCAGTTTGGATATTACAGTGTTCAGAGACTGCTACTGATTTTTTTTTTTTTCCAAAGTTATAGGGAGCTTTGAAAGTTTTTTCAGTTGCATTGGTGCCTCAGCTCGTAACCATGCTTTGAAGCAGCAAGAATTTTAATGCTTGAAAAATGTTATAATAAGAACTTCCACTTGAAGCAGATAACCTTTAATGCTAATTGATGTAAATAACCGTATAAAAGTATTTAGGCAATATCACTTCCATATCATACATCATATTCCTGTGGCAGAGATGCAAGCTATTGATTTTGCAGCCCAACTGGCACTTGGGTACTGTCACAATTTTTCTGTGGGTTGTTGCACACGTAATCCAGAAATTAGATGCTCAGTAGTTCACTATACACTGAAATGGTCAGGGACAGCGTCCAGTACCATGCTAGATGTTTAGACTTCCAGGTGGGATGAGTTACTAGCCTCAGCAGCATGACTGAGGTGAAGTGAAGGTTATTACATGGTTCATAGGGGAGACCAGAGACATTGCTCTAACCTCTGTTATGTCAGTTCCCAGAGCTCCTCCTTCTCCACAGGTTCTGTGTCCTTACTCTTACATAGAATCTTAGGATGGTTTGGGTTGGAAGAGACCTTTAAAGTCATTTAGTCCAACCCCCCTGCAGTAAGCAGGGACATCTTCAGCTAGTTCAGGTTGCTGAGAGCTCTGTCCAGGCTGACCTTGAATATGAATCAGAATAAAATAGTGTTTAGAAAAGAAAATATTATCTTCTTAATCATAACTGTAACTACCCATAACTTCCATTAAAGCTGACATACACCATAATAAAAAGTTCACTGAAAGAGACTGTTATAGATGTTGCAGCAGTGCTGTAATTTTAACTAGATTAAATTTTCAGTCTTCTACAGCTTAGTTTACCACCCTTTAACAATGTCCACATTTAAATGAAATCTACAATATTCATCTTTGATTTGATCTTTTAACTGTATCTCATACAGACAACTATAAAAATAACAACTGCATAATTACTGTTGGTCCCTGATTGCATTTCCTTAGGTTGTTACTCTCACAACTTTTAGCACGTTTTTTGATGTCAGATTATTTTTAATTAAACTTCCTTCTGCATGTGTGGGGGGAATAACTCATCTGAGTTTGTTCCAAAACACAGGACTTGCAGGCGGCAAATGAGAGAGCGTTCAGGAGAAGGTGATCACCATGAGGGCATGTCGAGTGATGATGAACTGGCCCTGACAGAGGTGACCGAGTTCCAGAAGAGCAAAGGTTGGTGACAGTCTTACTATGATGTCCTAGAACACAGTGTCTTTCTGATGGTTTTATTTTTTTTCCTGAAAGGTGAAGAGATACTTCATTTGTGAGACACATATTCTTCATTACACACTGTAGAAAAGAAATGCATTCAGACATTCAGACTAATGATTTGGGTATATGGTTGTAGATTTCTTTTGGTATGAGTTTTGGTGTGGTGGCATTCCACGTGACTGTTTCAACTGGAAGTAATCTCTTCTAGATTGTGCCAAAGCTGCTCTGACGGTGCTCAGTGCAAGGCTACAATGCATTTTGTATAATCAATTAGTTTTCTGACCTTAGAGTGAATCAAAAGCTGGTGTTTTCATTTTCTTGAATGAATGGATGAAGAGCAGAAATCACACAGAATCACAGAATCGCAGAATATTAGGGATTGGAAGGGACCTTAATAACTGGAAGGCTTAATAACTTTTCTCCAGGTAACAGGAGAAGGGTTTTCATGTCTGAAATTTTATCACTGTGGTATAAAGTTTGAAACAATTTGGTTGTGTAAATATGTGGAATAGTTCATGACAAAACTTGCCTTTTTTTGGTCTTCTGACAGTAATTTTTTCTGAAACTGGGTTTTCCAGGGAGCTGGTTTTAAAACCTGTTTCAGTGTCAGTTGTGTCAAAGATAAATGACAAATGCAATTATAATTCAGTTATTCCTTACGTTCTATAAATGCATCAACTCTTCAGCTTGTGCCTCAATAAGTTCTGTGATTGTTTCTTTTTATTCCCAATTAATATTATCCATAGATAACATTTTAGAGGATAGTAGGAAAATCTTTGAAGATGTACATACAGATTTTTGTGACATCAGAAAAATCCTGTTGAAATTCCAGGAATGGAAAGAGAAGTTTTCTGACTCTTACTGTGATGCTTATATCAGTTTCTGCCTGCCTAAGCTATTGAATCCATTGATCAGAGTTCAGTTAATAAACTGGAATCCTCTTGAGGTAGGTGCATCAGCTGACTTTGTTTTCTTCAAAAATTATATGTGTGTTTGTGTATTAATACACCAGTGGCCCCTGTGCTTCTGGGTGTTACACTGAAGCAGTAGGTTATAGTCATTAAAGCCTATTGTGTTTCTGGACAGTCCCATCTTTGTGGACAGCCCTTTTCTGCCTTATTCAATTTATTAATCAGTGGTACCTGTGGGTATTTCTGGCAGCTCAAAGTATGTCTGAGCAGAGTTCTCCTGAGTTCTTTGAAGACATTTTGACAATCCCATCCTTTAAATTCTAGCTTTAAATCTAGTTTTCCTGACTGGCTGTTTTGGTCTCCTCAGTGATGAGTGGGGATCTGAAATTGAGAATCTTTTGTGTTTTCATTGAATGTATTTTTGCATGAAGCTTTTCTCTCAGTCCTGACCAACTGAACAACTAACAGGAATGATTTTTCAGCAGAACTTAAAGGATTTGGAAGAGATGCCCTGGTTCAGAGCTCTAGAGGAATTCAGTGACACCAAAAATGTATCTGAAACAAAAAGGGATGATGATCCTGATCTAGAAGTTTTGCCTAGAGTGATTGAAAAAACTATTCTTCCAAAAATTACAGGTATTGTAAGATTGTCTTGGAACTGTTCACTGCAGCTAGGCAATCAAACCTTAAATAAAAGCAATGGCTATCAAATAATGTTAGGTATATGATTGTGCTCCAAGATGCAGTGGTTACCTAGTCCATAGAGTGGATTATTGTAAGTGCTTTCTGTATGTTTAGTTCTGCTACACTGCAATGCCTTGAAACTAGAGTGGATAACCACTTGAGTATCTTGAATGAAATAAATTAATCTTTTAAATTTTTTTTTCTCCCCTCAGCATTTGTAAAGAACATGTGGGATCCTTTATCAACTTCTCAGACAAAGAACCTTGTACAGCTTTGCAATAACATCTTTGGAAAACAAATCCTTTCCAAAAATGAATCCAGTCGAGCAAAAGAGGTAAAAGCTCCTGTGTGTGGTTTCTGTATGTGCTTCTACGGGCACTTAGAACATTGTCCTGAAGTTGGTCAGTTCTGATTACTTGTTTGTTTTGTCACTTTATATGATGTAAAATTTAACAGTTAAACTCTCTGATGCTCTCATTATTGAAGATGATGGCAGATGGCACACTCTTGAGGCAGAAATTGGCTCCTGTTCCTAGAAAAATTCTGCCTGTACCTATCGAGAGTCTGATCACAGATCTAATCTTGCTTCACTGCAATAACAGTGATTAAAATTTAGATTTGCCTTTAACTATCTTTCAAAATTTGAGCTTTGAATGCTAGTAATACTTCAGTGATCAACTCTTTAAGCTTTTATTCATAAAGTAAATCTAGAATTTTATAATTTAAAAATCCCCAAAGGTTAATTGGCTAGGAGAAAAACTACTTTTGTAATCTTAGGAATCTTTAAGAATTACTTTTATACGCAGTCACCCTAGTATGCCCTTCTTCAGCCTGATTCCAGTTTTATTCTGATGTAAATCTGGAGATTTATCTAGTATAAAACTGATGAAATGGGTGGATGTTTGGACTCTGAGTATGAAAAAAAATATTTTTAAGAAAATGTTTATGCCTTCCAACTGAGCCTTCCATTGCTGATTTGAAACCATGACTTGAAGTCAAGTGGTACAACTGACTTAAGCCAAGGTACTGTTTATACAGAAAGAAAGGTAAACCAGAACTTTAAATAAATAAATAATCTTAAAAAAAAGATAGGTGGCATCTGTGGCACCTAAAAACATGTTGCCTAAAAAACCTTACTATCCTAGCTGTGGTGATTATTTTTTTACATAGAATTTCACAGCTTTTTATGGAGATCCTATGTATGTAACTTACTTTGTTGTTAATCTATACAGTTTTCCTACTGCCTTTCAAATTAACATTTAAAACAAGTTGTCACTTAGGGATATAACTTAATCTTAAAAAAAAAAAAATCCTCTAGGTTAACCCTATAGATGATTACAGCTGTGATTTGTCTACTGTTTTTAATGTATTAATGATCTCAGTGTGTATTAAAAAAGTGGCAGCTGTACCTAGCTCTAATTAGTATATTACAGAAGAACAAAATGACCATTGAAGCTGTTACAAATGGAAGATGAAGTCTTATTGTGTTCTTAACACATTAATAATTATTTTTTAACAGGATTTGTTGAAAATGGTTGTCCTAAGAATGAAGAAATCCATAGAGGAAGATGTGTTTATTCCTCTGTATCCTAAAAGGTGTGCTGACTCTGGGGCTCTCTTAAACTTTATTTTTTTTAAATTCCTCTACCCTTCTCCCTCACTGATGTAGATGAAATACTGTAGACATCCACTAACAGTTAATGGGATAAACTTGCCTTCTACTGTTTAATTATGGGAAAGGTTATGAAGCCTTATTCCTGTTTCTGAACTCTTTCTAATAACAGTAACTCCACTGACTTAAAGCTTTTTTGCTCTAGTAACCAAAAGCTTTCCAGTATGAGATCCACAGTTTGGTTTTAGCATAACAACTTATATCTGAGAGCCTCTGTTAGTTTAGGTCATAAGGTGTTGTGTGTGTGTGTGTCCCAATTCCTGCCCTCATTCCTAAAACAGGGTTTGTGTTGCTGATGGCTACTATTGGACACTATTTCAAAGATAGAATCATAGAATAGATTGGGTTGGAAAAGACCTCCAAGATCATCAAGTCCAACCCCTGATCCAACTCCAATTACTATATCATGGCACTAAGGGCCACGTCCAATCTCTTTTTAAAAACCTCCAGGGATGGTGAATCCACCACCTCTCTGGGTAGGCCGTTCCAGTGCCTGATTACCCTCTCTGTAAAGAATTTCTTCCTAACATCTAACCTAAACCTCCCCTGGCAGAGCTTGAGCCCATGCCCCCTTGTCCTATTGTTGGTTGCCTGGGAGAAGAGACCAACCCCCACCTGGCTATAACCTCCCTTCAGGTAGTTGAAGAGAGTGATGAGGTCACCTCTAAGCCTTCTCTTCTCCAGACTAAACAACCCCAGATGGGAATGAGTAGGAGTCTGGGAGGTGTGGGGTTAAGATGCAGCTAGGAGAAAAGCTTTGCTAAAGCTGCCCTAGGGTGTTTGTTTTTAAGCAGTGTTGTTTTGAGCTGAACTGGTGAATTGTAGACACAGGTATTTCCAGTTGCTAATTTTATTTGGAATTATTCTGTAGAAATTTCATTATAATGGGTTCAAATTGACAGCTGTTTCCCCAGACCTTCATTCTGGTTGAGGCTGTCACTGCTGAAAGAATTGCAGAATTAACATTCATCAGAATCTAAGAGATAAAATGTCTGTTTATTGTTGTTTAAAAGCAAACAAAAGGTTAATCCTTATTTTACTTTTTTCCTCCTTTCCATGACCAGTGCTGTGGAAGACAAATCATCACTGTGTTCAAAATTTCAAGAAAGACGATTTTGGTCAGCTGTTAAGGTAGAGAAAATATACCTGTTTTTTTTTAATTTGAAATTCATTTTAGTGAAAATATATTTTGTAGCCAGTCAGGAAATAAATCTTCAGGCTAGTCTGATTCCTAGGAGATTAATACATTTTTATTAGGATGGATAATCGTTTTTCTCAGTGAAGGATGTGTTCTATGTGCAAGCTGCATGTGATGATTTAAGAATGAACTATAAATTAACACTTTATATGTGGTTACCCAACTGGTATGTCTTCTGCATGAGACTTTGATCTGACCATCTGTTCCTCCTGGTTCATTTTTTTAAACTTGAGTGGGTCAGCCAGGCCTGGTGGCCTTACATCATGTTAGTGAGTCACTGCCACTCTGCTAACAGGTTGTCACCCAGTGCTACCAGCACAGACAGGTTCATTTGGGCATCCTGGGCAGAATGATGATGACACTAAGTTGTAGGTACAATTAAAGCTTTATTTTTTTTAAACATAATTTTTTTTATCAGTATAACGTAGCATTTTATGGTCAGAGTAGCTCAGGATTTTTATAATCGGAATCAGTGTAGTACAATTTTATAAGTAGTATAGCACAGAATTAATAGCACAATTTAGCTTATGGCTCCTAACCCTCTGCAGATCAGGTCAAATCTTAATATTTGGCTTGCAGTATCAATAATAAAGCAGTCATAATTTGATTGAGTGATGCAGAGTACAGTTGCTCACCACCCACTGATAATGATCCTGGAGGAGCGAAAAGGAACCTTGAAATCGCAATCCCGGAAAAAATGATCCCAAGCGATTCCTGAGAGAATCCCCCCCCACCCCCTTTCTGGTCAATCCCAGTTAATATACTGAACATGACGTGTTATGATCTGGAATATCTTATTGGCACATCCAACTGTCAGTTCTGGGTTTTACTAACTACTACACTTTTCTCCCCTCCCCTTCCAGCCCTCTCTTCTTGGAAACTGCCCGAGCTCAGTGTCCTTGTCTGTTATCAACATTGTTCTCGTAAAAATCTCCACTGAAACCACAGTGCTTTCTAGCTACTGAGAAGAAAATTAACCCTATCCTAGCAAAAACCAGGACAGTGTGTCTGTTAACTAGTTGTCACACCATTTTTTCTGAGTGGAGGTGTCAATTCAATCACCCCAGGGTAAATAGTACTGCAACCCATCTGTGTTTAAACTCTTAGGACCTCCTTCCTATTGAAACTAGTATAACTCACCTGTGCTCGAGACTGTTCTCTGTCACTGAGACTCGCTGCCATTGAGCAGCCCCCCCATTCATGCTGTTAAACCCTGGCTCTCAGTGGAGGTTGCAATCTTCACAGTACTGCTGTGGCCTCTAAACCATGCCTAGAAATTGTGTGGAAGAATACTAATTGACTTGGGTGGGAAGTGAGCCAGGAGCTCTTCTAAGGCAAAAGTACAGGTGATGGAATTTCACTATTTGTACCCTGGTAACCTAAAACTACTGAGATCAAAACCAAAAAAATCTTTGTGCTGCTCTGAACTGTGGCTACCAACCTCCCTGATGTTGTCAGGGTCTGCAAGTGGTCTTGCTCTGAGCAGATGTAGGAATTTATTTTTTACTTCTGTCTTGAATTCTCTAAAGGTTTGCTTAGAATTGGATGCCATTTGTTCTTGGTCTGTATTTCTTGTAAGGGGAGTGTCTTAAATACTCTTGCCTTTTTTCACGCTTTCAGATTGGACTGCTAGCTCTTCTGTTAAGAGTAAAGGACAGTTGTCTTCTGTACTGGGGCCTCAGCAAATTCTTAACCTATTAGAAGGGTAAAATGTCCTTTCTAACTTTAAGAGGTCATATATACACATATTAGGGTACAGTTCATCTGCACATGTAAATTTAATTATCCTACTTGATAAGATCATTGACTATGTGCAGCTCATTAGTAGCTAACTGACAGTAGGTTTGGAGAGTGTGAATCCTGAGTATTGAGGACTCAAATTGGATGGACATAATCTTATAATTTTTTTCTTACATAAAACTTGTAATATTATGTATTAGCACACCTCCAGCCACCAAATATACATATTCTCTGTTTCCTCATTACTGCAGCTGCTCTCCAATGTTCTTCTTTGGGACGGGATTGTACAAGAAGATACAGTCCGTGATTTGGGACTGAGGAAGCTGCTGAATCGTTACCTTCTTCTGAACCTCTTAAACACACCACCAGGGCCAGATAATATAGAAAAGTGTAATAAGGTAAAAGATAATATGTACATCGGAAGGGAGTGTTTTTGCTAACAGGTTTTTCTCTCTCTTTTTTTTTTTTTTTTTTCCCCATGAAGAGGGGTCAAAACTGAAGGTTAAATATTTTAAAATTTTGAAATTTAAACATTTAAATTTTTTAAATTTAATTTTTTTAATGACCTTGTTGCATAAAAGCATTTTAGAGCAAATACTGGGTCATAGCTTCTTAAGAATAACTACTTGTAAGGATAACAATGGCTTTAAACTGGAAGAGGGTAGATTGAGATGAGATATGAGGAAGAAATTCTTTCGTGTGAGGATGGTGAGACACTGGCACAGGTTGCCCAGAGAAGCTGTGAATGCCCCTTCCCCGTAATTGTTCAAGACCTGGTTGGATGAGCAACCTGATCTAGTGGAAGGTGTCCCTGCTGATGGCAGGGGAGTTGGAACTGGATGATCCTTAAGGCCCCTTCCAACCCAAACCATTCTGTCATTCTATGATAATTAATCTTGATTTCAGAGAAAAAACACACTACTAATAATGACTGAACTTTCCAAAACGTGACAGTCAGAAGTGATGTGACTTGGTTATATTGAAAGACTTTTCTTTTTAAACTTTTTCCAAATATCCTGTGGGTGAACAGGTGGTTTCGTGCTTCCCGGAAAGATGGTTCCAAGATCTTAAAAGTGGTTCCACTCTCCCTGAGTTACTGAACTTCTGTCAGCACTTGCTGCAGTGTGCCCGTTTGCTGCACAAGAACAACCACAGGTAATAGATAAAGTTTCCTTGGGATTCAAGTACATCCTTGTATACTTTGTTTTAAATATTTCTTAAATTCCTTAAGTCTCATATATTTGACACTTTCAAGGATGATGATCTCACATACATGCATAAAACAAAAGGTGGAGTCCATAATGTAAAGGAGTGCTTGTGCAGTTCTAGTTTAATGTGATCGTTGGAGGCACTCGATGTTGGGTGCTGTTAGTGATCAGTGTAGCCAAGGTCACCTGATGAGAAGGGATCAAGGAGAGATGCATGACTTTTTAAAATTAAAAACATAAAGTGTACTTAAGTCAGGTACATAAATGTGTTGCTATATCAATCTTTATTTTTTAAATTTTATAGTGATGAAACAAAAGAAGTTCTTCTCCTGCTGGTGAAAGTCAAAGCTCTGCATATTGTTGAAGACTTCATTGAAGAGTACAAACTTGAACACCTTAAATCGATCATTGGGAAATAGAAATTTTTGAAGCAATATTTATATTACTGAAACAAGTCTGATATTCACACTAAAGCAGTTCTAATATGTGGTTTAATTCGTGGATCCTGCCTACTCGAAGATGTAGTGGTAACCATTGTCTTATTGTTAAATACTTCAGGACTTATTTCCAAGTGTCTTCTACTGCCGTCTACTCTGAGGTTAAGGAGTCTTTTTAGAAGTTACAGGTGTCAAAGTAAAGTGATGGTTCAGGTGTTTTAAAATGTATGTCAATGCTTTATTGCTTTATCCTTTTTGGAAGGATTCCTGGAAAGGGAGTGCCTGCAAAGTTTATCGCTGCTAGCAAGGAGACAAGCTGTTTGCAGTATTAATTGCTAAATATCACTCCCTAACTCGGCAGTCCTTGAGCTCTTCTAACTTGTGCTGCACAGTGAGCTTTGGTAGTTATTGTTAAGCCATTCCTAGTGAAAAAACTCACAATGCTGCAGGGGTTTTAACCCTGGTACAGAAACAAGAAGTCAGTGTGCAGGGAAGGAGTTTGATGAATTTTTATTGATGGGAAACATGGGTTCAGTGAGGTAAGAGCTGCACAGGAGCATGTCTGGGGAAGAGAAGATGCAGTGAAGTTAGTGTCTGATGTGCGCGGGAGTTTTGTACTTGGGTGGCACAGATTGTGTGTGCAGAGCTGGACTTGTCACACATCTTGCTTTATCCGGCTTTTAATAACAGACATCTCGATGGTGAGAAGCACAAGAACAACTTTGGTTACTTTCTAGTAACGGAAACTCTAGGAAAGCCTTCCTTTTGCTTCCCAGTAAGATCTACTGAACCTTAATTCATCATACCCTTCCTAGATTTCTAATGCTTTATAACTTTGTGTATTTGCAAAAAAATACTGTTACAGAATAACAAGGATGCTTTTTTGTAGAAACTAGTGCATCACCGACTCTGTATGTTTCCTTCTGACTGTATTTCCCCAGAATCTTCTGGGACTAGAATTTTCACTCTTGCAGACTTAATCCCTACGATTTCTTTTATATTTTTTTTAAGTTAAAAATATATTTTTGTAAAATATTTTAATTGTAAATAGCTTTGATTAGTGTTTAAGACAAAAGATTACTTTTAAATGAATTGTTTTATTTTTAAAATAAAAATATTTTGTGGTGTTAATGATTCCTACAGTTCAATTCTTTAACATGTGATGAGAATATTATTAGAAGTATGAAAAAACCTCAGCCACCATTATCCTTCATTACCTCCAGCAGTGAAGAGCTATGTTGCAAATCCTGTTGGTAATGGTGATTTTTTTTACTGCATTTCCTGTCAGAATGCCAACAAAAAGGCAGTAGCTGATCAGCAATAACACAAGCTCATGATCTCATTGCTTTTCTCTTGTTCTACTTTGTCTCATCCTGGCTAAAGGTGTCCCCTGAAGCAACCAGCCTTGGGCTATTATATAACAGATGTTCTCTCACAGTTTAGCTCTGCAGATCTTTCTTTCTGGAAGAAAGATTACTTGTAAGCATGGGGAGTCAGTTAACACCTGAGCTCAGAACCTCTGTGTGTCTCTACTCTGGAAATACAGTTTTATAAAACCAGCTGTCCCAGTTTTGAGAACCTACTCTGGCACTTTGTAAGTCATCATGAACCTTACACTGATTCACATGATTTGGCTTCAACAGATGGGCTCAGATCTTTACAACTAATTTCAAAGCATTTGTATTTGCTGCTCTGTTGGCAGTTAGTATTATTGTCTCCAAGACCTTGTGTCCAGAGAGGGGCAACAAAGCTGGTGAAGGGCCTGGAGCACAAGTGTGATGAGGAGCGGCTGAGGGAACTGGGGTTGTTTAGTCTGGAGAAAAGGAGGCTGAGGGGAGACCTTACTGCTCTCTACAACTCCCTGAAAGGTTGTAGGGAGGTGGGGGTTGGTCTTTTCTCCCAAGTAACAAGTGATAGGACAAGGAAACAGCCTTGATTGGATATGAGGAAGAATTTCTGCACTGAAAGGCTTAGGAAGCATCAGAGCAGGTTGCCCAGGGAAGCAGTTGAGTCCCCATCCCTGGAGGTATTTAAAATACATGTAGATGTGGTGCTGAGGGATATGGTTTAGTGGTGGACTTGGCAGTGTTGGGTTTATGGTTGGACTCGGTGATCTCTAAGGTCTTTTTCAACCTCAATGATTCTATGATCAGGAACTTTTTTTATTTTTATTTTTTTTTAAATGATAAAACTAACCAGCACTTAACTGCAAGTGGCTGCTTCCCTGCTACAGCCTGAAGTTATCAGTCAAGCAGTTCCACAACTGGCCACTACCTGGTCTGTAAAGAGAGAAGTAATGGAACTATTTGCAAATCACACTATAACTAACTTTCATGGGTGATGCAAATCCCTATTGTTATTTTTTAAAAAGGAGGCTTCTCATTTCTGGAGAAGGGGTGAAGGTCGCATTACACTCCTCAGAGAAAGGAGGGGCTGTTTTCAGGAATAGAAGTTTAGCATTCATCCACAAAAATTTGTGCACTTTGAAATTTCCTGGAAAGGTTAACTTTATTTTGCCTATATATGTACAAAACTTGACAAGTGATAATCCATACAGTAAATTCAAAGTAAACATAATTTTTTCTCAGTAATTCCTAGACTGCACAAACCATTATTATTTTTTAAGCTCTTCACTCACTTCTTTCCAGATTTTCTCCTCTATTTTTGAAGTATCATATTCTCGCAGCATATCGAACTCTAGCCATGGCTGGTTCCACTTCTGTGCTTCTTTCATTTTTTTTGCAGGTAGCTCAAACTTTATTCCTTTTATATTGTATTTTGGCCTTTCCCACCGTTTTGACCATGGTTTAGGTTTCATTCGTACCTGCAGCTAGGGTGAAAGAATTAAAAACATAAAAATTAAGTAATCAGAATTATTTGATTATGAGCTTAGCAAAAGATTAACACAACTGCTGCTGTAACAGAATGAAAATAAAACAGACCAATTTGTCAGTATGTTAAGGAATTACTACTTTATATTGTTAGAAAAGGAATTTTTTGTGTCCACATTACTGTTGTCATAGTATCTGTAAAACATTTGAATTAACACTGCCTTGATTTATTACACAGTCCTTAAATTGACACATAAAGTGAAGTCAACTCATCTTTTGCAGTTCTACTCTCCTTCCTCATTAAGGAAAAAGAAAAGCAGCATGAAAGGGAGGAACGATCGCTGTAAGTTACTGAGTTACTAGACAACAACCTTTGACAGGGTCTGCTGGTTTCTGGATCTTCTCTGAGATGTGGATTTTAGCTGATCTTCCAATCTTACCTTCTTTCCTGATACCTGCCACTCCCAAAGCAGTAACAACATTAATAGTAACATTTCCATGGAAAAGCTTTCCTCTCTGCACAGTGTTACATAGAGGCATGTGGAGACCACTCCTTCTTGCATGTCTTCTAAATTAACTACTAAGGATCTAAATTAACTATTTATATTCTCAACATCCTTTCACTATAGAAATGGCATAAAGATTTGCCTTATTTTGGACATGGCATAAATGTACTTATTTTGGACGCTTTTGTCACCCTGGTAACTAATGTAGCAAAAGAGCTGTTTAACGGCTTTCCAGGATACCAGTCAGATATGGAAGTGACCCAGGTGATCCTCCACTTCCCCTCTGGAAGGGATCCTACCTTGTTTACAGGAATTTCTTCATGTTCCAAATGAAACACAGGTTTCATATTCACATCAAAAGTACTATATTCAGGGAGGGCATCTCGCAGGTACATCAGGTTGTCATCCAGCCTCTTTTCTAACTTCAGAACCTCAATCGCCTGGATTCGAGGATTGTACAGTTCATAACATACTTCAACACCTTAGAGAGAGGAAGTCTGGTTTAATGAACCAAATTCATTAGAAATACTAACACCAGATTAATATTTTTTTAATGTTATACATCCCTCTATTATTCAAGAACTGCTTTTTACTTACACAGAAAACTACAAGATATTGTGCAGGTGCATTTTGTCTGCACAGGCAAACACGTATTTCTTTTGTAAGTCAAGTTTTTGATAACAGAATGGCTTGAGAGATGTTGAATGGCTTGAATTTGAGGAAGACAAGCTTGAGTTTTAAACTTTACTCCCTTTTGGTTACAATGGCTATTACTATATATATATATGTGTATATATATATATAAAATTGTGTGTAATGTGTATAAAGAGGCACCCACCTCTTTCATATTTGCTCTCAGAACATCAGTATTTGCATCTCTCCCCATTTTGCCATAAACCAGAGTATGAACTTGTCCTGATTTCACTAGGATAAAGCTAATTTTCTTCTTATTAGCTAGACTAGCACTGTGTTTCGGTTTCAATATGGGATTCATTATGAGAAGAATGTTGATAATATACTGATGTTTTTAGTTGTTACTAAGAAAATCAAGTACATTCAACTTCACATGCTTTGCTAGTCTGCAGGTGGAGAAGAGACTTGGGGGGAGTGCAGTAAATTACCAAACCCAAACTGGTATTTGCATATGCCAATAGAATATTCCATGTTGTGTAACATCACGTTCAGTGTATTAATGAGTGGGCCTGAAATCTTGGGATTGCTCAGGCTCTCTCTGCAGGGATTGCAGTTTCATTTTTGGGATTGCCTCTGCTCTGGGATCACTAGGTAGGAACGGTCTGGGGTGGGTGTTGAGCAACTGCACTGTGCATCACTCATTTGTATACCCCATTATTACTGTTACTATCATTATTATTTTAATTATTATTTTATTTCATTTATTAAATAGATTTTATCTCAACCCATGAGTTTCCTCACTTTTACCCTTCTGATTCTCTCCCCTGTCCCATTGGGGAGGGTGTGTGAGCGGCTGTTTGGTGTTTGGCTGCTGGCCGGGCTAAAACCACCACAGAACCCATTACAAAACTCCGCTAATCTGTTGCTTGTTAATCAGTGTATGTGTACAGCCTTAATTCATGAAACACCCTGTGCTCAAACTGGGCTAGTATTTATGTGGCTAGCAGTAGACTCCCCAGGCTCAAATAGAAGCACAACCATAGTGGATCACAATCAGTCTCCTCAGAATACAGATCTAAAAATCACTAAGTACACAGACAGAACATTGCTAAGCTGGTCACGCCTTCCAACATACGGCACATCAGCATCTCTGTGTGTACAGTTTTAAACCTGCAGTTTCACTGGCATATCCAAATGCCAAATCTGGGTTTTGCTAATTACTACACTTCCCCTTCCCAGTCCTTTGCACTTGCAAACTACCCAAACATGATGTCCTTGTACCTTATCAACACTCTTCTCATAACAAATCTCCTACTGAAACCGGAACACAGGGCTTTCTAGCTACTAAGAAGAAAATTTATCCTAGCAAAACCAGGACAATCCTCTAGTAGGTAGACTCGTGATTTCACTTTGATCTATTGTCATCCTCTCTGCAAACTAAATTTTTGCACCAGATATCCTTTCATCTACAATTTCAGCATTTTTGCTTACCATTTCTAGCATAATTACCACAGCGAAAAACCCACCTTGGTCTTCTATAACATTCCGAAGGACAAAGGTAGCACCAAGTCCTTTTCCTCCTCTCTGAATGCAGATGCCTACAAACCGGTTGGTTTTGTCATTGGCATATGGATCTGCAGTAGTAACAGCAAGTATGCTGCCTGCCAAAAAAAGAAAAATAAAAAATACACTGTTCAAGTAAATACGTACCAAAATGTGGGAAGAGAGTCAGAGAAAGTGCAGGTATTTAGGCACATTCTGAAAATGGTTTATTTTCCATGAAAACTGCCATAAAAACAATGAACTTCTAACATGCTCTGAATTAACATATGTTAAAGTGATTCTGCAGGTTAACTATGAAGCTTCTTCATCTTTATCTTTTATTCTTTGTCATGCAAACTGAATACAAATAATCTAATGTCTTTTCCTTTCTTGAGCTTTACTGGTAAACCATAAGCTAAAGTGCCAGTTAAAAAGTTGAAGTTAAATAACACATAAGACACACATTAGTATTCTACTTAGACTGGAAACTGAGTATAAATATGAAATTAAAATACAAAGTAGCATGTATAGAAACACATGCTAGTTGATCTGACATACCTGACACTGTGATGTTCTATGATATCTACAACATCCAACCACACCCTTTTACCATCCCACCCAACAAAAAACCTTGATGAAATGATGAAAGTTCTAGTGCTCTTACTGACCAACATAGAACTCTGGGATGTTGAAGACTTTCCGTCTCTGTATCATATCCTTTCTTTCTATATAGAATTTAAGAGGATCTGTTCTCCCTCTGGGAGGTATAAATTCAGGGCTCAAGAACCTGTAAGAAAATCAAAACTTATTCTAAGTGTAAACCAAAAGCATTTTGCAACTCCATTTCACAAACTGTAATGTATGTGCTTACAGCTGACTGCAGGGTCTAAGTCAAAGGCAGACACAGGACCTGTGTCGTATCCTGGGCTACATCAAGAGAAGTGTGGCCAACACTGTGATTCTCCCCATCTACTTTGCTCTCCTAAGGCCCCACCTGAAGTACCGTGTCCAGTTCTGGGGCCCCCAA